CACCCACACCCACACCCACACCCACACCCACACCCACACCCACACCCACACCCACACCCACACCCACACCCACACCCACACCCACACCCACACCCTTTTCTTCAATAGCGAAAAAAATAAAATACAAACCAAAAGCGTTCTCCCACATCTGATCTTGGTATCTAGGATGAGTGTATGTTTTGTATAAATTCACTCAAATCAACAATTCAACCCATAGTAATATTTACAATCATTTTCACTTCAATCCATATTTCCCGATACAACATTCCCATTGAATTTCGTTCGATGATTCATAAGAATTCATGAAAAGTTATAAGTGCATGTCGAACCCTATGGGAAATATTGCAGAATTCTATCGTATTCCGTAGGATGTCACTGAAATTTATCAACCTGTTCTTCTGACTGACCAATAAAAAATATAGTCTTTATATTTGAAGAACATCTTGGATAAAGCTTAATCAAACAACACAAAAGATTCGATTTGAACAAGAAAAAGAGCATAAAAGAATGGGAGACTTTGGGAAAATAATGTCAATAAAGTTTTCCGTACATTTTATTATTATTGTAATGTTGGAAAGGTAACATTGACGCCGAATGTTTTTACCATATTGCTTAGTGCAATAGCCATGAAGAATTGTTGTAATTTCATTGCTTCATCCAATGTTAGAACGTGTGGCACTTGTTGTATTGATTGCTTCGATGATGACCACAGACCACCTAAAATGCTTGTTTGTTTGGTGATAATTAATAGATCAGGTGCTAAATCCCAATTAGCATTAATATCCACAATAAAGAACGAAGCTGTATTTTGAATGCTATCTCCATTTTTGAACACAGTAAGAGAACGGTATGATCCATTCATGGATGGTGAATAAAGATATTGAATACTATCCCACGCAAAATCATCCGAATAAGTTAAGCCTAGCATAAAGCTGCCTTTTGATGGTAGATTGTAATCGAGTATAAGTGCTTGAATAAATTGTTCAGCTCGCGCAGCGGGTATTTCCATAGCTTTCAAAACGCTTGATTTTTGATTAAAGTAGTTGAAACCGAATCGAGTCACTCGTGTAATTGTTGTTGAACTACTTGATTTGATTGTATCAATTACATCTTTAACGGCTTTCGTTGCAGAAGAAACAGCTTGAGACAAAGCTATAATCTTAGCAGAAATACTCCGAGGCTCAGACCGATCAATGATATTCGACATATTTTTCGGTGAAAGAATTTCAGGATTAAAATAGGATAACATTCTATAGCGATTTACTGGAACGAGTTTAGTCGCGCCAATAAAGCGAAGAATATTCAATGCAATATGTGTCGTCTTCACTTGCCATGTCGTTATATAAGTTGATAACTGCTCCTTTAAAAATTCACCATTATCGTCGAATGTCGACGTTCGTAAAATTTTCAATTGACGATCTTCGTTCGAAATATTGGCTAATAATTGTCGTATTAATAATTTTGACGTGATATACGAATACAGAAAGTGTATTGTGAATGTTGAATTGTCATTTTGCTGTCCAATAATCCAAATATATTTTATGCTCATTTCATTACTTGCATTATCGATTGAGGATGTGAAAAGATGTTCGAAGGAAAATCGTTCCGAACCATATTGTTGTGAATTAAATTGACTTAAATCGAAACCATAATTATTGGCTAGTGATGTTAACAATATGGGCACATTTTCGCTTCGAATCTTCGTCAATTTTAATGCTTCAGTTGATAATTTCAAGGAAGTCATATTCGATTGTAATGCACTTAGAATGGAATCATTGTATGATGCCAATACTTCGGCTTTCACCGTATTTTTTGAGATATATTTTTCAATGATTTGCACTAAGTCGAGACGGTCACTATCTTCCTTACGAAATAGTGAACGTTTTGATGACATGTGTGTTTTATTTTTGGAGAAATGCTCATTAAACCAGATTGATTGATCGGCTCGAATTTTTCGCATTACAATGCTCAATTCTTCTGGAGAGTGACCACGTGGATCATGTCGCACTCTTCCTTCACAACAACATTTCGATATCCATAGACATTTGGGACAGATCCAACAATGTTGATAGTGATGTACTGAGTATAATTGTTTGACTGCTGCACGGGAATCTATAGTTACAAACATAACAGCCACTGATGCATTGGCATTAGCTGAGTCTTGAGCTCGTCTTGTAGCAATGATTAACGTGGTTAATTGAGCTTCAGATGTAACATTAAACATAAATCCCTGAGCTAAATAAGTTCCTTCAATGGCTGCTAAGACTAACAAACGAATATTCTTTGATACTTCGTCACGAAACTGAGCTGGAATCAACCATTTTGTCATTGCAGTGTCAATTGTTGTGATATTAACTTGATCTTCTCCGTATGAACCATTCGATGATGGTTCATGCATATAATTTGCCCAATTGTCTGAAATGAATAGTAATGAATTTTTCTTGAACAAGAACTAAGAGGAAGTATAAACACTGGTCAAAGTCTTACCAGGTGCTGTTTCGTTAAGTAAACTCGCTGCAACCTGTCTCAGTGAAGAAAAAGAATCGTAGAATCTTCCACTGATCGTTATTCTTGATGAAATATACAATTCAGTAGACGAAAAGATCATACCCAATAATAAAACAAGAATAAACCTTTGTGTCATAGTTGAGAATACAATGATTAGTGATTTTGATATGATCTAAAAAACAGAAATAATAAAACTTGAGTTAATGCTAAATACTCATTTATATTTCGAATTTTTTTCTCAAGTCAGGAGGTTAACTATTTCATGTATGTAATGAGAATGAAACTGTATTTCTGAAAATCGGTCATATTGTGTTCTTAAAATGATACATCTACCAAAGGATTCAACGATAAAGAGCTCTTGCGAAATAAAATACTTACCATGTAGTATTTCTGATGTGCCTCTGATTAGAGATACTATAGGGAACTATGCATCATAAAAAAATAGATGAATTTTCCCACATTTATTACCAAATTCGGTACAATATCATTCTTTTTTGATAGTAATCGTACTCAAATCTATTGGTACTTTTAGCAGCACATTTTAGTTGTCAGCTGGTCTCAGTGATATTATCAATAACCTTAGAACATATACATACCTATGCTTAGTCAATCGGAAGCTATCATCATGGTTTTGAATAGTCTCATTGTAGCGACGTGCTTCTTTACAATTCACAGAACAAGCTTTTCAACAGACAGCTTCATCTGTAGATAGACCTATTTCTTATTCAAATCTTGATGTTATTCATCGAGATAACTATTTTTCAATCTTTAAGCTTAACGCACGTCGCACACTGATCACTGGAAAGTCATTATTACCTGACATAATATGAAAGAGGAATGTTTTGATAGAAGAATATTTATTCCTGTGGAAAGCTTCGAGAGACTCTGAAGTCAACTAAAAACTATATCCAAAAAGCTGTAAGTTCAGAATAAGATGCCACATTTTGTCCAGGGTATCTTGACATTAACAAAAGATTTCATGAAATATTCGAACATTTCACTAACTGACTACGTAAATGCAACTATTAAAAACATACAAGGATCAACTTTGGTTGTGTCTTACAGGGCTTTCACAGTTTTATCGATCATATCATGATGATAAGATGAAACCGAAAGCAACGTCTAATGTAATATTCAGGTGTTAATATAGGTTGATCTCTTCCTTGATGGACATTACCAATAAAATAATTATGTTAATTTGACATCATTATTCACTTACTGCATCTTTGAAAGTAAATAGACGAAAATTGCTTGTTGCTTCCGATTGGTGGCTGATTTCAATCTTTTTTTTCCCATGACACATTTCAATTAGTCAATCGTACAATTTAAGCATCATGATTCACTTCCATCTTTCTGTATATCAGAAAGACAAATATTAAAACCAATTTCATTCCAACGATTATTTCTGGTCGTTTTATCAAAATGACATCGTGAGTTTGACTTGATTTTGAAAACAAATGTGTTTCACTATTTTTATTAGATTTTCGTCCAATGATTATTACTAGTTTTGAAAAATAACATTCAATCTATATTATTTTAATATCTTTTGAATAATATTCAAAATACTAATTCAATAAATTTGGCTAGTTGTACATGATCTTTTTCAATAGGAATAACATGAATGTTTTAGCAATAAATCATTAAAACGTCCATTTTGTTATAGAGTTCATGCGTACACTTAAAAGGGAATTATCGTTTTCCTTTTTCGAACTTTCTGGCTAATATGGTAGCAAGAGCACAGATGAAAATAATCAGTCAACTATCTTGATGTGAGTATGGATGCAGAGTGTGGTTATATTATTCATGAGACATGAACTCTGACTTTCTATGCCTGCATATTCACACCCACGCCCATAATTGAAATTAAATTTGAACTTGAATTTTGCTGTTGCTATAGTCTTCATCCTTTTTTATTTCGTTTTGAAGCTTAATCTAGCTTTTAATTCTTTTTTGGTATTTGCCCTTTTCGATTATATTTTAAACTTAATTTCAATTTTACTTTTAATTTTTGCGTATCATTTGTAATGCGAAGCTCTGATGATTGCTTCATTATTTGAATTTGAGCACATGTATTTAATATAATTCTATTGTTTGACGTAATCGACTGCTGCAAAGCAAAAGTTGAGATTAACAGCTTGATTTTTATGATAGGCATGTAGTTCGATCTGCTTTACATTGAAGAATAGTGCATAGAAATTGTCTGTCTAAATTGCTTAACTAAAATTACAATCCAATATCTATTTTGTTTTACATCAGCAACAATATCTTGGAGGGCTGTCACAAGAATAAGGATGTGGGTGTGGGTGTGAGGGTGTTGCTGTGGGAGTGGGTGTGGGTGTGAGGGTGTTGGTGTGGGTGTGGCTGTGGCTGTAGGTGTGCCTGTGGCTGTGAGGGTGTTGGTGTGGGTGAAGCTGAGGGTGTGGGGGTGTGGGTGAAGCTGAGGATGTGGGGTTGTGGGTGTGGGGTGTGGGTGTGGGGTGTGGGTGTGGGTGTGGGTGTTGGTGTGGGTGTGGGTATGGGTGTGGGTGTGGGTGTGGGTGTGGGTGTGAGGGTGTTGGTGTGGC